CCGGCCATGTCTCACCCGCCACACGCAGCATAAATTTCCTCCCCTGTCGTGCCTGGACAATTGGGAGAAGGCTTGAGCCACTCGACATAAGAGAGCATTACAGCTCCCAAAGGGTCATGCGAAAAAGTGACAAATACAAGATGCATGTGGAGCTGGCAGCTGCCTATTAACGCCAGCAAAACGGACAACACACCACCACCTGCATGCCAGGGCATGCACAAACGTCTCGACGTCGCAGGTGGAGTTTTTGGCGCGAACGAGCAAGGTTTCTAAGACAGCGACTTGGGAGCCTCAAGCCCATACTCTGCGGATGACATACTTGGGAGTCACTCCGGCTGCAGGGTGACCTCCACCTGAATCTCTTTGCGGTCACCCTGGTGGCATTGAGGAATGGCAGTGACAAGTGCCAGGCACACTCACAGCATACAAGAGTTGGGTGAATGGGGAAGGCCACTTCAGCGTCAGCTCACGATGCTGCATACCGGCCGCAACCTGATACAGCCATAGCCACCCTGCCAGGCGCAAGGCAACGCCCCTTATCCCAAACAAAATCTAATAGTCAAACGATGGAAAGCACCTCGGCGCACCTGGTCCCCGGCGCGTGCCACCAGCAATGTGACCTTGTCGCCAACCTTGAACTGCTCCAATGCTCCCAGCAGGCCAGCAGGGCTGCCCACCAGGCGCCCGTCGACCTTTGCCGGGTAAGGTGCGGCGCCACAGGGCGGGCGGTATGAGCAGCAAAGCGCTGGTGGAATCACAGCGACGCCAGGACGCCCGCACAGGCAGCTGCTGGGCGGGCAGCTGCTGGCACGGCCGAGTTGCGCGGCTGCGCGAGCTATCAAGGGGAAATGGCCGTTTCGCTGGTCCCGCAGCACAGGCCCAACCTTGCAGCGTTCAGAGAGCAAAACTTGCCACAGACAACCCACACGGCAGCCTGACAAGCCCTAGAACTCTCCAGGGTTCAAGGGCGGCACAATACCTTCAATTCCCACAACAGCAGCTCACCGCCAGCACGGTGTCTCCCGGGATGATGCCCCCCAGGCCACGCCGCGTGGCCAGCAGCCCCGCTGTGGCGGCCGCGCCGCCCGGTGTGACGCTCTGCAGCAGGGCGCCCGCCCTGACCCCCAGCTTCTGAGCCACCTGGTCGCTCGCAATCTGGGGTTGAGGGGCGGGGTCGCAGGGGCGGTTGGGGCGTAGCTGAGATGTTCTCAGGCTTAGCTTAGCTCGCGTCCTGGGCTGGGCCCTGCGAGCAGCGTGGTCTGGGAGAACGGGAGGCCAAGGGAAAGCAAGCGCAAGGCAGACGCCCTGTGCCCATTTGATGAGTACAGAGGTTGCCGGCTGAAGAGAGAGCACAATCTGTCATGTGCGGTGCGATGTGTGCGTGGACGCACCTGTGCGTTGAGCCCCGCGCGCACGGCCTTTCCGCTGGCGATGAGCTGCGGCACCACCGCCCGCACGGTGTCTACCGGGATGGCAAAGCCAATGCCCGCTGAGCTTCCAGTGTCTGCGGAGCGGTTAGTGGGCGACGGGCGGGGCGCAAGAGGGTACAGGGGAGTGCTTTTGGGGGGGGGGGGCTGCAATGGAGGACCGAGGACCACAGGACCAAGCCCATATGTGTCCAAGGGTGTTCAAGGTTGACACGCAGTTAGCTGGTTGGAGAAAGGAGGAAGGGCAAAGGGTAGCGCCCTGCCCAGCGAATCAGGGAGGGCGGCGTCACGGGGCAACGGCTGTGGCAGGGCGGATGCCCTGTCTGTGCCAGGGCGGCGGCCCCGGCGGCTGGCCCCTCACTGGTAAAGATGGCGGTGTTGATGCCAATCAGCTGCCCCGCGCTGGACAGAAGAGGCCCGCCAGAGTTGCCTGGTCGGACCCCGGAGGAGGGGGGGGTGGTTGCACCACCACAGGGTTCAGGGCGAGGTTTGGACGCTGGCCGGTGACATGCGCCAGCTGGAGGTTTCAAGCGAGTGTGGGTGGGGATCTTGCCCCAACCTCTGGTTGGCCCCCATGGCGACTGGCACACCTGAGAGGTGAGTGCCAGATGGGTTGTGCGAGGCGGATGGGGAACAGCCAACTCTGCCAAGGCACCCTGCTAAGGCGCCAAGCCCCCCCCCCCCCGCAATCCGTCCCCCGAACCAGGGTTGATGGCCGCGTCGGTCTGGATGCCGCCGGGGATGATGCTTCCAGTCTGGGAGCGGATGTCGCGATTCAGGGCACTCACGACGCCTGTCGAGCACGGGGTCAGCCGAGGGAACGCCGCGGCCAGCAACATTGCGTCTGGGAAACTTTGCGGCGAGAAAGGTCACGCGCAAAGCCGCACTGCCCACTTGGCGTGGCGCGTCAGCAGGAAATGATCAGCATCTTCCCTTCGTGATGGTTGCGGAGCTTGGCGGCGCGCCCTCACCCGTAGTGAGCGTGTGGTCAAAGGCGCCAAAGGGGTTGCCAATGCTCAGCACCTGCTGCCCCACGCGCACACCGGCGGACTGGCCGAGCGTAATCGGCTGCAGCTTGTCCGGCGGCGCAGTGAGCTGCGGCCGGGGGCAAGGGCGCGCGGGCAGGTGGCCAGGGGTTGACAGAGGGTGGGCGCAGAGCGGTCGGCTTACTTGGCAATTGCAGCCTCCAGCAGCGGCCCCCACGCGTGCGACTCTGACATGGCCGCTTGCAACTCTTAGTTGCGTGGCTAAATCTTTAGCGCAGAAACCCTATGTCGTTTCGGTTTGAACGGTGAGTTCGGCCAGTCTTGTTGCGGCCCTTCTCAATTCCACGTGTTGCCCAACCAAAGTGCCACGGCCAAAGGAAACCCCCAGCCCAGAACGACAGGGGGCGGCTCACGACCGCGCACCGCTCACCTGCACCACTGCCAGGTCGCGCGCCTTGTCAGCACCCACCAGCTTGGCCTCAAACACACGCTTCTCGCCGTCCCGCGACAGGACGGTCACCACAGCCACGCGCTTGCCGCGGCCCGCGGCTGTGGGTGGGTGGAGGGGTGGTGGTAGCGATTGAGATTATTGATCGTGTCAGGTGGGCACCCGTGAGTGATGCACACCAGTCAATAGGACGGCCTGGCACGCCCTGTACCCTCCAGTTGCCTTCACACACAATAATGCACACACACACACACACACACACACACACACACACACACACACACACACACACACTCATTGCAAGATCACTCATATCCCCACAACTCCCTGGTCCCCCCACAAACACATTGTACCCCATTCAGTACTATGATGGGCTTGTACACTAGACTGGCACCCGCCGACCATCCCTGCCCCCAAGACCCAGCCCCC